ATTATCATGACGGTTCCTTCCCGCAATGCCACTGACGAAGGAGTTACTGTGAACCCACTGCGTGGAAGTCACCATGTTCGCCGTTGCTCCATAAAACTACCCACGACCACGCCGGTCATTCCCAGACGGCGGATATGAGCGTTGCCAAAGACAGCTACAAGCACCAAAACACCGGGCTCCATGGTGCCCTCCATCACCATCCGCAGCGTGCGTGCGTGCGTTTTCAGCGTACACACCGCTCCACAGCGTGTGCAACTTGGCTTGTCTGTGTGTATCTGAGTGTTTGTCAGCGCCTATACTTGCAGAGCAGCTGTGCGGCACAAGAAACTCCAAAGAAAGCAACGGTAGAAAGAAGCGGATAGCACACACGCAAATTACTCATATCGTCCCACACACACGCAGCCAGTGGAATGGGTGCTCTCAACCACAACACAAGTAAAATAATGAAAAAAACAAAAAAGAAAAAGCCGAAGCGTGGGACGACCAGCGCACACACTCTCATTGCTCCCGTAAAGCAAAACACACACACAGGGAGAGAGAGAGAGAGAGGTCGCCCACTCAATGCAATGGAAACAAAAACAAAAACAGTTACGGTGCTCCGCCCATGCAGCCAGGCAGGACGGCAGCGGTGCGTGCGGTGCAAAAGAGAGCACCAACGGGCCTGCATGGGTGTGCATGCATATATACAATGGGCACATTATGTGTGTGCTTCGTGGGGTGAGGTGAGGGCGAGAGTCCATGCAAGGGGACACACACACAGAGAGTGGGTGAAAGACGAGTGTGTGTGCGGGCGGTGCACGGATCTCTCTCCCTCACTCTCACGCGGCCACCACCGCAGCAGCAGCCGCACACACAACAACAAGAAGAAGAGGCAAAAGAGGGGAGGTGGCGTGGGAGACCGCGGTGCTGCCGTCACTGTCGCCTGTATTTGCGGTGGCATTTGTACGAATGGCGTTTTTACCTTTCGCGGATTCTTTGCCATTTTCCGCGGGGTGTTCATGCTGTTGATGTTGTTGGACTTGTGCTTCATCACTTTGCTGCTGCTTTTCATGATCTTCTTCCTCTCCCTCTTCTTCTTCTTCTTCTTCTTCTTGTCGTGTGTGTTCAGTGCTGGATGTCGTTCCTGCCCGTCCTTCGGCTGGCGAGGAGTCGTTAGCCGCTGCAGCAGCAGACGTCTGATCTCCTGTTGAAGAGTCCCCTGTTGTGTTAGTTGGATGACTGCCTGAGGACCCCGCTTCACCACCGCTGCTGCCAGCTGAAGAATCAACAGCAGGAGCAGCAGCAGGAGCAGAACCGGCAGGAGGAGCGGGAGGACCAGAAGCGGCAGAAGGACCAGGAGGAGAAGGAGGAGAAGCAGCAGCAGATGAACCAGAAGAAATGCCACCGCCTCCACCAGCAGGAGCAGGAGGAGCGGGAGCAGCAGGAGGAGCAGAAGAACCAGAAGGAACGCTGCCGGTGGCATGACCTCCAGTAGAACCGCCTCCAGCACCACCAGAATCGCCTCCACCACCTGTACCACCAGCAACAGAAGCACCAGGAGAGGCACCAGAAGCCCCGGCAGCGCCAGAACCAGAAGGAGAAGCACCTTTTCCATCCGAAGCTTCGACGGCAGTAATGGGCAATACTGACCGCAAAGGCACCGTAATCGCAGTTTTATTACATCCGTCAGGCATGTGGGATCCATTCTCACCCAACACTCCCGACCCCATGCAGCCACCCAGTGCGTTCGTGTCAACGTCCCTCGCATAAACACCGCCGGCACCGCACCACAGCACGCAGAGGGCACACACCAGCAGCACACGACCAGTCATCATCATCGCCATCACTCCTGTCACTTGCGTGTAGCCTTCAGCACAAACTAACTCCCCGTCAACGCAGAGTGAAAGTAAAAGGAGAGACACGGCACAGTAGCAAACACCAGCAGCAGCAGCACGCATTTCATGAGAAATATAGAACCAATGAAAGTGAAAAAAAACACAATGCGCTGCAAGTAAAGAAGAACACAGAAACCAAGGAAAAAACAAAAGTAAACAGGCAGCAATAAAGTAAAACAGTAAAAAAACACACAAAAGAGCTGCACAGTATGGCTCCAGCGCACACGCCTCTATCCTCAACAGTGTGTTCACGCAAACAGTTGTGTGCGTGTCGTGCGTATGCGTATGTTTGGGATGCGTTCAACGCGGCGGATGTGGGAAGCAACGCGGAGCACACAGCAGGACAGTGGAAGCAAAGGAAGCAAAAACACAATCATCATAATTGCTCTTACTTTATACATCGGACCACAGTAGACACACGCGCACAAATCTCCGCGGTTGAGTGCTGGCACGCACAGCCCGCATACACATCTTCAGCTGAGATTGGTGTACGCCAGCGCGGATACGGCGAGCAGCAGCGGGGCACACACCCACGCAGAGCTGCTGAGGCTGCCGTCAATTTCGCGAAGATGTGACGGCCCTCGGGTGGTCGTCGTAGTTGGTGCTTCCGTAGATGTAATGATTGGTGCCTCTGTGGTTGTTGTTGTGGTAGTCGTCGTCGTAGTTGGCGCCTCTGTATTCATGGCCGTATTACTTGGTGCCTCTGGCGCGGTGATTGTTGTAGTCGTACTTGTAGTTGGTGCGTTTGTCCTGGTTGTGTTTGTCGTCGTATTTGTTTTTATTTCCGTATCGGCTCTTTTTACATCCTGTCCCGCATTAACCGTATCTGATCCCTGCAAAGGATCGACATTTTCTTTTGCAACGTGTCCGTTAATGTCCACCGAACCTGCTTGCCCCGCCACACTAGCTTCCGTATTTGGTGTCAGTACCTTAACAGACTTCTTTTCTTCCTTTGGCGGGGTGGATTTGTTATTTCTTGACCCATCCTCACTGTTTCTCCGACTTCCTGCCTGCAACACACCATCCACCGTAATTGATTCCTGTGGCTCACCATGCTGATCCACATGCTTTGGCGGAGTAGAGATTGGATCACGGACTCCAGTATCCTCACCATCAACAGTCCCGCACACGGACGGGCAGCAGCACAGGGCAAGCACCAACAGGGCGCACAGCAGACGGCACGTCATAATCGTGAGTGTGGTCGTTCAGTGGTGTGGAGCTGATCTGCACAGTGAGGGACATGGAGAGCAACAGGGGAGACGAGAGGTGCAGCAGACACACACAGAGGGCACACCACATGAGGAGAGGGCAGCAGCCAGGCATGCACCGTACGCCGCACACCACGCACACACACACACACACACACACACACACAGCCCTGCCGCAACACCAACACACAGATGGAGGAGGGAGAAGCAAACAGGAGCGGCACACAAGGCTCCACCGCATGTACATACGGCGAGTGCGGTCCGTCGTGTCGGCACCCCTCACGGAGGGTACGCACACACACAAGAGGAGGTGCAGCGCACACAGCAACACAAAAGCAAAGTAACAATAAAAGAGTAGATCCCCGCACACCACGTGGATTGTTGTTCCACGGGAAGTGCAGCCAACAATTCGGTTTGTGTTCTTCCTGCTTTTCGCCGTCAAATTGTTGCAATAGACGTTTGTTTTCCCTTCCGTCGCTGTGACACCTGATTCCTCACCGTTTACTGCGGTGGGAATGAAAATATGTGAGTGGACTCCCACACACCAGGACGCACCTTCGCTCTTATTTATTGCTGCATGGAAGGGCATGTGTGTTTGGTGTTATCACGTCCATATATTCTTCTGGGTGCACATTCCCCTGCAGGCTGAGGGCGGGGTGACGCTCCGTCGCGGTGCACTTCCCTCGAATGCCGCCCACTGTGATTCATCATGCATCACCCTCTTTCACATACTCCGTGGTGCCACACCGTTGATATTATTGCAGCCGCTGTGATTCAGCGTACTTCACGCATTTGATTGTGCCACAATACATCCGCTCGTGTGGCCGCCGCATCCAAACAGCGGTGCCCAACACCGTGAGCGGCAGTCCACATCCTTGCATGTCCCAACGCAGTGGTGTTTGACTGTCAGCCAGGCGACACACAACAAGAGAGTCTTGTGCTGGCAGTACAACACACGGGGCTGCAGTGAATGACTCGAGCGGGGACGCATCTACTTGTCGCAAAGCAGTGAAAAGGAGTCGGGTAAAATAATGCCGGCTGCACTCACGACACCATATCCACAGCCAAAGCATGCGACGTGATGTGTGTTTCACTGGTGCTGTGAAATGCCTGCAGACGACGTCACTAGTGGAGGCACACCACCTATGATCAGCGGACAGACAATAATCGGCATGGGAGGCCACAAGAGGCAGCAACGACGCCAGCAGCAGGAGCAGATCTCTCCCTCTCTCTCTCTCTGTTGCCTCCGAGAAGTAAACATTCCACCAGCCACAGCTGACTGTGCCATCGTGACACTCCATGCACGTCGTGGCTGCGTCAACACATCCTGTTCCCTGCAGCGCCTCAAAAGATGCCTCACTCCGTCCACTAAGTGCATCGATGTGGGCCGTGCCTCGGCTGCTCGTGAGGACCACAACGATGTGAGGGTCACCGAGTCGCAGCATGTTTGTTGTGACGTTGTTGCGTGGCACCTGCACACACACACACGCAGCGCCTGCATCCCTCCCTGTTGTGTCCGCCCTCTGCCGGAGTGGCCACACACACGGGCAGCAGCAAAATCACTTCACCCTCGACGACACAAAATCAACACTGACATCCCTCGCGACGCAAAGATCTCGATTGCCAGCACGGACTTCCTGCCGCCCTGCCATCGACGCTGAAACACGGCACAGTGCACGCACTTATTTTCCTCGTGTGCAGTCAGCCGTTTGCTTCACACATTCTCCGGTGGACTGACGCCCATAAAAGCACGCCACAAAAGGCCACTGTGATCGCACAAGCTCTTGCGATGAGCGTCGGTGTGTGCATGGACCCGCTGCTCACACGTGCTGGCAGGCAGCCTGCAGCCGGTGCCCTCGTGCCAGTTCATCGGCTCCAGAACAGAAAAGAGAAAGTGACCAATTCCAAATGCATTTATTCCCACCAGCAGCACCAACACGCTGGTCGCCAGCCGTCATTCCTCAGCACATCCAGGAATGCCGAAAAGTGACGTGGAGCTGCCAGCCAGCAATGCCACAATCCCCGCACACATGTCGGCCCCACCAGAGAAGACACACAAATCACAAACAACACCCCTCACATGTCATCCGAACACCATTCCGACACACCGCGACACGCCAAACAGAAGTATTCGTCACTCCATGCACCTCCCCACACAATCAAATATTCCACGCACCACGCACGGCAGCAGCTCACACGCAGTCAGACAAGTGTTATTCGGATCAGTGTTATCCACGTGCTGCGGTGGGAAGTAAACAAAAGAGACGAGTCGCCAAACCCCAAAAGAGTGCCACGACTGGCCGCAAGTCAATGGAACGCAGCCACTCAAATGAATTCGATCCTAATGCCCTCAGCATCCCGCATTCTCCCACCAAAGCCCCAAGAGACGCAAATCAAAGGCATCGTCAAATAAAGTCGCTGTGCAACACCAATTGACGCCGCAGTGCCTCCTGCTGTCATCCGGGGCCGTTGTGGACGCCTTCACGGGGACAGACACCCACCGGATATTCCAAACGGCGCTGTGCACCTGCGACGCATCCGACGCTTTGGGACGCACGTGCCTCACTATCACCAGAGACACCCACGCGCCGTCCGTACGCAACAAATAGTCAAGGAACCAAGGACACGTCAGGGTAGCAGCAAAGCATCCGCTAGCAAATCACATCGCAGACATCAACAATAGCACCAGCAGCGCCAAAAGACGCGGGTGAATAAGATCAACGGACTCATGGCGTAGTTGAAGAAAGAACTTGGTGGCGTCACAAAGAACCAAGAGGCTGACACTCTCTCAACAAGAGAGGAAAAATATAAGAATACAAAAAAGAGAAATTTTAAGCGTCCGCAGTCAAAGCAAGCCAATAACTGAAAAAAGGGTTGTGGGCGCACATAACCACACTTAAAACAATGAAAAAAACAAAAACAAGAAAGAAAAAGTGTGGGACGACCAGCGCACACACTCTCATTGCTCCCGTAAAGCCCAACAGGGAGAGAGAGAGAGAGAGGTCGCCCACTCAATGCAATGGAAACAAAACAAAAACAGTTACGGTGCTCCGCCCATGCAGCCAGGCAGGACGGCAGCGGTGCGTGTCGTGCAAAAGAGAGCACCAACGGGCCTGCATGGGTGTGCATGCATATATACAATGGGCACATTATGTGTGTGCCTCGTGGGATGAGGTGAGGGCGAGAGTCCATGCAAGGGGACACACACACAGAGAGTGAGTGAAAGACGAGTGTGAGTGCGGGCGGTGCACGGCTCTCTCTCCCTCACTCTCACGCGGCCACCACCGCAGCAGCAGCCGCAACAAGAACAAGAAGAAGAAGCAAAAGAGGGGGGGTGGCGTGGGGAACCGCGGTGCTGCTGTCACTGTCGCCTGTATTTGCGGTGGCATTTGTACGAATGGCGTTTTTATCCTTCGCGGATTCTTCGCCATTTTCCGCGGGGTGTTCATGCCGTTGATGTTGTTGGACTTGTGCTTCATCACTTTGCTGCTGCTTTTCATGATCTTCTTCTTCTTTTTCTTGTCGTGTGTGTTCAGTGCTGGATGTCGTTCCTGCCGATCCTTCGGGTGGCGAGGAGTCGTTAGCCGCTGCTGCAGCAGACGTCTGATCTCCTGTTGGAGATTCTCCCGTTGTGTTAGTTAGATGACTGCCTGGAAACCCCGCTTTACCATCACTGCTGCCAGCTGAAGAATCACCACCAGGAGCAGCAGGAGCACCAGAAGCGGCAGAAGGACCAGGAGAAGGAGGATGAGCGGGAACAGATGAACCAGAAGAAACGCCACCGGTGTCATGACCGCCAGTAGAATCTCCACCACCACCACCGGCTCCACCACCAGAATCTCCTTCTCCAGAAACTCCTGCACCAACAGAAGCCCCTGGACCAGCAGCAGAACCGCCTCCACCACCGCTTCCACCACCAGAAGCACCAGACTCGAAATTATCCCTTAAATGCAAATTGTTCTGTATTACAACAGTATTATCTGTTTCATCCGAGGCTTCGACGGCAGTAATGGGCAGTACTGACCGCAAAGGCACCGTAATCGCAGTTTTATTACATCCGTCAGGCATGTGGGATCCATTCTCACCCAACACTCCCGACGCCATGCAGCCACCCAGTGCATTGGTGTCAACGTCCCTCGCATAAACACCGCCGGCACCGCATCACAGCACGCAGAGGGCACACACCAGCAGCACACGGCCAGTCATCATCATCGCCATCACTCCTGTCACTTGCGTGCAGCCTTCAGCACAAACTAACTCCCCGTCAACGCAGAGCAAAAGGAGAGACAAGTCACGCAACCACGCACCGTCCCATCCAGCAATGAGAGTCACACACCACCACAACATTTGGGTGGGCGCGGTTCAACAACAATCAAAAAAAAAAGAAGAGGGGCGCTCCTCGCCCGTGCACCGTTCCTCACACTCCCACAGTCACCATTACTGTTATTCCCTCTCTCCTCAGTCCCTCACAGGCACGCCACGCTCAATCCAACACGCGCCCCTCCCAGCACAGGCAGTCCGTCATGCGCTCCCGCTGCGCCGCAACCACACACGGATCAGGTTGGCCGTCATGCACTGCATCTCGTTGTCCTCCTTGTACTTGAAGCAGACCCTCACATCCTCTCAATCCACGGCATGGGAACTGCGAGTGGCGGCCGAGAGGTGCCACTTTTGTGAAAGAACACAATGTGCGGAAATAACGGCCACCCTCACTCACTCAACTCTCCCGCACACAAGGGCGGTGCCATGGCGAAGAGAAGCCCGCCGCACAGCACATGCACAAGGACACATGCAATAGCCGTGCCATCGACGTCGCACCGCAGGATAGAGCCATGCGGACAGCACAAACACGGCCTCAACGAGAGGGACGGGGCACATCCAAGTGCATACCGCAGTCCTTCACTTCTCCCTTCCCCGGCGGGTTGGCGTCCCACACCCACAAATGAGGCGCCGCGCACACCATCCGCTCCCTTCGAGTT